GTAGGAGGAATTGCCGTTCATCTTTTGGTACAGAGGATGAAAATTATGATAAGATTTATGTATGGGTTGTGTGTATCTTTTGGTTTTTGGGAATGGAATGGTGAGATTTGTTGTAGTATTTGATGAAGACCGTTACTTATATAGCCAAGGAAGACTGGTGTTTAATAAAATAGATAGATAAGGAAATAGGAAGCTAACTTAGCGTGTCTGGTTAATCTTCAAAGGCACACTTTTTCTTTTATAGGAGCAGACAAGATGAGAAATTTAATCTGTGGGAGTTGACAGGTACGAGAGACTTGGGATGCAAAAAAATTGACTTTTTCTATTTTGGCTTACACGGTTTAACGCGGTCAAACAGTTGCTTAGCCGCGTCTCTTCCTTAATTTTTATTTATATAATTTCATTAAGTAATGAAACTACACTTTGAAAATTAGTTTTTTTTTTTAAAAAAAAAAAAAATTTGATTAACGAGAGTTATATTTAGAAGTAATCAGGCTGATAATATACATATATATATATGTATGTATTGTTTCAATGGTTTAAATTAATGTTAATAATATTTTTAACAAAAGTTATATGTGGGTTTCATTAATAAATTTCAACGTAGTAGTTGGAAGGTCGATGGCACCAGAAGGGATAGAAATTTTAATGAGAGTAAATTATAAATCCTTGACTTTTTTTATATCCACAAAATTCAACCTATGTGAATGACTTCTTATGTTTTGTGTAAGCCAGTGCGTAAATAAATTTACTGGGGGGAAATTTTTTATTTTAATAGTTAGCTTTGCATTTTTGTTCAAATTTATTAATTTGTATTCACTTATGAAATTTTAATTATCTAATATAAAATCTTAAATCCCATTTCTATTAGAATTTTATTTTATTTTTCACTTTTATATAATTTTTTGTTTGCGTATTATTAATATAATTAATTTTTTTATTATGTACATTGAATAGTCTATGCAACTAATGTAACTTTTTTACAAAAATATTTAATATCATTATCTTGTAAAAGAAATGTAAAATGCCAGATAAATAAATATTTTCTATCATTTTAATTATAAACTCTGTTGTTAAAAATTAAAATTATTAAGAAATTTGGAGATAAACTAATGAGTGGTTATTTGTTTAATTTAATAAATAATATAACAAAATCTTTAAACTAAAGTAATTAAATAATCTTTTATCCGTTTCAGTAAGGATCCGACCCGATCTTACGCGTACTACCGTCCCGGCCCAATTCTATCGTTTGATTTTTTTTTCTCAACTGAAGCATCATGACAGCGGGACCCACTGACCAGGTGGTTTTAGATTAAGCCATCTTCCAACAAAGAGAACGAAAACAGAAAACCCAGAACCATGAGTTACCAGAGACCTCCCCAAGATCCTTACCCTCCTCCAGGTAATATTAATTAGCTCTTCAATTTTTTTTTCTTATTTTCCTTTTCAATTTTCCATTTTCCGCTTTCAAATCTGTATATTCTGCTGCTATCAGATTCTATTCGGAATTCCAATATCTTATTCTGAAAACTCGAATGTTGATTAAATAGGTTATTCATCTCCTTACCCTCCGCCGGGGTATCCATCGGCGCCACCGCCGCCTCCGTACGAGGCCTACCCACCTCCGCCGCCTCAGCCGACGGGATATCCGGGGTATCCCCCGCCGCCGCCGCGTCACCAGCATGAAGGGTACCAAGGTTATTTCACTGAAGGGTATCCTCCTCCTCCACCACCACCTCCAGGTCCTCCGCAGTACCAGCACTGCTACCATGAGCATTATCATTGCTCAGATCAATATGAACCAGGGTGTTTCTCCTTTTTACGAGGCTGGTATGCCCGTTAGCCCGTTTCTCTCTTTGTGGGTTCTTTCCTTTTTTTTTTTCGTTTAAAATCTGTTCTATGGATGAATTTGGATTAGGTTGCTGTGAATTTTATATGGTAGATTCTATGTTGCTGTTTTTCGGTTCATATGTATTGTAATTTCCTTAATTTTGTTTTGCATTGGCTATTTTTTTCTTGAGAATTTCTTTCCAAGCTGAAGTTTTGAGTTTATGTGGTTCTGCGTTATTGGTCTTGCTTTTTCAAACCGTGTAAAATTTTAAAGAACTAGGACTTCCTACGGTAGCGTAAGAACAAAAACTGTGTATTCTTAAGAGCTAAAACTTTCTATGGTTTTTGAATCAAGATTGTAGAATCTGAGTAGAACAAAATGAATCAATGATTTCCAAATAGAACAAAATGAATCAGGGATTTCCAAAATTCCTCGACTTGAATCTTTTTAGCAATTTAGCTTACTAAAAATGGGCCTCGTATGGACATAGTTTATCTCAAGAAATGTAGAATACTAAATTAATATATGGGAATCTATATATATATATATATATATATGTGAAAGATGGTGAGGGCTTGAGGCACCATAAGGATCTCTATGGCTGGTTGCTGGTGGATTAGTCTTAAGGGTAGACAAGAAAGTAGCTAGGTTACGGTTATTTAGGAGATTTCTTCTCAATGGCTTGGCTAGAAGGGGACACTTCTCTTTTTTTTCTTATCATCATATGGACTTAGGATTGTTTCTGGTGATCTCAATCAGAGAGGTGACAGGGGCTTCTGCTTCCTAAATCTTTGTCATGAATATGAGGGTCTCTCTTATTTCACTGTCTGAATTTGTGAGGTTTACCAGGTTTTGTTTTAAAAATGCTCAGGACCTAATAGAGGGAAATTTATGGTTTTTCTTTTGAGATCCTTTTTTCTCGTAAATACATTTTGATCTCCTGTTTTTGAGTTTCTTGGAGTTCCCTCAATGCAACTACATGTGAGGTTCGCTTCAAATGTTGTCATATTTCATAGGTTTACATTTTTTATTATGTTGGTATATAACTCATTCCTACTGATATGATGTCTGAACCTTTACTAAGAACCTCACCTCACTCATTTTTTGCCCTCCTCTCCCTCCCCCTGCTCGTAGTCCGTACTTTGATGTTGTGCTGATTATTTGTTTGTTTCGTATGTGCAGTTTGGCCGCGCTTTGTTGCTGCTGTATTTTAGAGGAATGCTGCTTCTAGTTCTTCTGTAATTGTTGTTGTAAGAAATTACTGTCTTAAGTGTTCTTTTCCTACATTTAGCTGATGATGTGTGATGTTACACGGCTGTTTCTGATTGACTGTAAAATGGTGTTCATGGGATCTGGTAATGCTTTTTCTTGTATGCTTTAATGGGGCACCTCGCCCACTTAATTATTTGTTTTATTCCCATAAGTTCATAATAAGAGTTATCACTATTATTTTTAGCTTTTTAGCTCTTAATCTATACATATTCTCTTCTCATCTTGGTGATATGAATCCCAGTCTGAATTAAGTTTTCATGTAGGCTCACCTAAAATGTAAGCATCATGGCCAGTGCTTCGAAAGTTTGGCAAGAAAAACATTTGTCAACAATTGAATCAATTCAATCCTTTTTTTTTTTTATCTCCTCGTGAATTGTATGTTTGTAGAAATAGGGACAGAATTTCCTCAATTTCAATTTTGACCGAGCACACTATGTCAATTTTTTTGAGTAATATATCTGAACATACCCGTTAATTCCTTATTAACACTGTTTTCAAGCACAACTGGTACATTCCAAAATAATCGTTGCTCTGGAAATTTTTACCTTGACCATAAACCCCCTTCGGATTTTTTATTAACACAAATCTTCGTACTCAGTCTCTCTCCATAAAACTGATTTGAAATTTTTCTAAATCCATTTTGCCTCTTTTGTGGTAGAAGCCTAGTTGTTTTCAGAATCTCATTCGAGCAGATACTAGAGATTTCAGGAAAACAGAGGAAAAATGGCTGCAAATGAATTTATATGATCGTTCAGAGAGGAGATAATGCCGCATCTACATGCATTAAATTGATCAATCAACACTTGATGTACTCTGGTGGATTTGCTAATATGCTAACACGGCATCTATTTATAATACTGCTATTACAAATGGCAAATCAACTTCTGTTTCAAACAACAGTAGCATACAACTAAATCACCAACTCTTGAACTCTCCATAAAAATCAGTTGGTCTCAACAAAATAGACTGCTAAAATAATATGAAATTCATGGTTGAACCCAACAATGCACACCTACAAAATCCAGACAAATTCCGGTGCATCTTTCCTAGGTCCGGCCAAGGTTCGATATAAGTACATCCTATCTACCTTCTGTCTATCATCAGGGTTAAACTCCATTTGGTCGCCTTCGTTAATGATCTCAACATTGAGCCTTGGCATCTTCCGTGCAAGTGTTTTGCAGCCTCCAAGAGTAACTTCACAGGAGGACATCCAAAGGGATCGCATTGTTTCATACTTTCCCACGTCCTCTAGAAGCGCTGCATCACCAAACGGGCTGTCCCTGATCTCAAGTTTCCGAAGTTTCTTACAACCATTCAAGACATAGAGCATTCCCTTGTCGCTGTCCCCAGCAAATGCGATAGAAAGCATTTCGAGCTGCTCAGCATACATTCCAATGTAAAGGAAAACCTTGTCAGTAAGAAGGCCAGACATCGACAATCGCCTGAGACCTTTGCATGACTGAACAATTGCCCCAAAACCTTCATCCAGTGGCTGTGAGGTTACATGATCAGGTTTTGTAGGTTCAAGGATGCATAACCTAAATCTCGTAAAATTCGGGCAGTTCTTGGCTACAGTAATGAGTGCTGCATTGGTCATTTGCTGGCAGAAGTAGAGTATCGAGTGAAGCTTGGGACAACCAGCGGATATAGCAACCAGACCTTCCTCTGTAACCGATGCGTTGCCTCCCCCGAATGGATCCGATGGAAAAACCCTCAATTCCTGCAATTCTTTACAAGTTGAAGCAACAACACTAAGTCCTTCATCTCCAATGCAATCAAGTATCTGCAAAAATTAAGTAAACCATCAATCCATTTTATTCCGAGGGAGAGAGATGAAATTTTTGCACAAGTAAGCCAGAATCATACCCACAATCGCTCAAGTTTCTTACAGTGTTGAATTAGCTTTATAAGGTCATTGCCATGAATACCCGGAGCATAGCTGAGATTTAACGAGGTCAGGTTAGGGCAAATAGGATGAACAGCCAATAGGCAGCGAGGAGTGACCTCCAAAAACCCAGACAAACTCCTGATTGACTCGCATTTCTGAAAGGCAGCCTTCACTTTGGTAAAGGCCTCAGAAGTTGGATCGTGAACATATGATCCTGTCCCTAAATCAACTAGCTGAGGAGCTCTTAATAATATTCTTTGAAGTACATCAAGAGGAACTGCACGGCTTAGCCTCAGACTCTTAAGGTTTGGAGACCTTGCCACGAGTCTCTCCAAAACTGTTAAATTTATATCCCCTTTAAGGCATGCAAAATTCAAGGAGACAAGAGAAGTACAACTGTCGGGAAAGCAGTTTAGCCAC